AGGAAAAGAAGTCACAGGAGAAGATATGCATTGCAGCAGCCCTGTAGAAAACATTCATTCTGAAATGATACAATAAACAATTAGAGTGCTTTGACAAAAAGGGAAGATTCTATGCCCTAGATGATAATAAGAATATGGTAAAAGTGGGTTAACCTTAGGTTAAGGAGAAAACTGTTAGAACTCATAGAGGGAAACATAATAAACTATGAAAGAAAATCTACCCCAAATATAAAGCAAAACTTAATGTGTAGCATTAGATTGAACAATTTTTTTTTTTTTTTTTTAGACAGGTTCTCACTGTGTCATTCTGGCTGAAGTACATACAGTAGAGCAATCAGGGCTCACTACCAGCTTCACCTTCCTGGGCTCAGTGGATTCTCCCACCTCAATCTCTTGAGAAGTCGGAACTACAAGCATGCACCACCATGCCTGGCTAGGCTAATTCTTGTCTATTTTGTAGAAATTGGGATTTGCTATGTTGCCCAGACTGGTCTTGATCTCCTGGGCTCGAGTAATCTACCCACCTCGGCCTTCCAAAATGCTGGGATGACAGGTGTGAGCCAGCGGGCCCAGCTAGATTGGACAATTAATTATATGCTAGTCAAGCTTTTCTGCAAGTATTGATACTAACATCATTGTCATTTAAGCTACATGGAGGTCTTATATTGTATACATAGAGGAGGAATTAAAATTAACACACAATTTGGATATTTGTGGCGTCAGAATATTGTTGTTTGTTGCTTATAATATTTTTAGTGAAGCTGTTCTTAGAAAATATGATTTTTATTCTTCAATTAGGCTTTAGAATTTTCTTTGGTGTGGCTTCCTTGTTTCTTGAGAATTTCACTGTCTGTCATAACCATCTTAGTTCATTCTTCTCAAGAAATATTAACGTTTTTCTTAGCCATGTTCGTTCCTATCTGAGAGCCTTTGTGCCGGCTACTTGATTAGTGTTTAATGTTTTCCTTTTTTTTTCTTTAAATTTTACTCTAGGTTCTGGGGTGCATGTGCAGATCTTGCAGGATTGTTACACAGGTATCCATGTGCCATGGTGGTTTGCTGCCTCCATTCCCCCATCACCTACATTAGATATTTTTCCTAATATTATCCCTCCTTAATCTCCCCACCTCCTGTTATCCCTCCCCTAGACCCCCAACTCTAACAGACCCCAGTGTGTAATGTTCCTTTTCCTGTGTCCATGTGTTCATTGTTCAGCACCCGCTTATGAGTGAGAACATGCGGTGTTTCGGGTTTAAGGTTTTTCTCAGTTTTGGCATGGCTTGCTTCTTCCTGCCAATCAAGCTTCAAGTTCAAACATGTTTATACAGACTTCTCTAACAACCAGATCTAAAGCAGAGATGTTTTTCCATTGTAGGGAATGTAAGTTTTGTGCGGATATAAGCTTTGTATGGATATTTTTTATATCTGCTGGGTATCTGGGAGTTGAATCAGTGACTGTTTATAAACGTATTTTTAACTTTATAGGAAACTGTCAAACTATTTCCCAATTGATTGTAGCATTTTATATTCCTGCCAACAATGAATGAGAGGTCCAGTTGATCCACACTTTGAACGAAAGTAGATATTAAGACTCTTTGTAATTTTAGCCATCTTAAAAACTATGTGATGGTGTATCCTACGGTTTAGTTTGTATTTCTCAAATGATTAATAATGCTGAGTAGCTTTCCACATACTCATGCATCACACACACACACACACACACAGACCATATTTGGTGAAATGCTGCTCACAATTTTGCATATTTCTTTTTAAATAGGTTGATTATATTACAACTGAGTCAAAAATTAGTTATATATTTGGGATCCATGAATTTTGCCAGACACATGTTATGCAAATATTTTCCTCTGTCTGTTTCTGGTTTTTATATTTTTGTATCATTGACCTAAAAAAGAAATGTGTTCAACATTTGTAGATGTCAAGTATCAATATTACTCTTTCATTGTTTCTACTTTCGTGTCATATCTGAAGCATTTTCACAGATTTTCTCATTTTCTTTATAAAATTTTAGAGTTTTAGCTTTTTATTTAGATCTCTGATCCATTTTTAGCCGTTCTTGTTGTGTGAATGTTAAGAGGAAAAAATGTAGTTTACTTATGTATTTTACTTTTCTCCTACTATTTTTCCACTACCATTTGTACCTAATAGGGGGCCTTTTTGCAAAAAGAAAGCAACTTCTTTTTCTGTTTAAACTAGGCTGAATGGATTCTACCGCCCTCAACTAGGAAGTCAGCCCAATAGATATGTTTTATTGAAAAGAATAAAGAGATGAAGCGAGGGAGGAAGACAAAGCATCCAAGTCAGAAGCCTTGTCTGTCCTCAGTGTGCAATGGTGGGACAGTCACAGAATAACACTGCTAATGATTCTTGTTCAGAAACAGGGAAAGCGGAGGGAACAAAGTCACTGATCCAAAACCATTTTGACCCGGGGCTGAGCAAAGTCCAGCCAGAAATTCCTCATTAGGCTCCACAGCCTGGAGCTAACCCTCTGTGACAGGGGGCTTTGCCTCCGGGCTCTGCAGTTTTTCTATTATTGAAAACATTTTATTTTTCTTCTCCCCCTACTGTTTTGGTTCTTCCCCTTTCTCCTTGTGGCAGCATCCTCCACGAGGATGCTGGATTGCAAGGATGATGCAATCCTTGTTGCATCATCCCCTGCAGAATTGGTCAGACATTGCCTGTGTCACGGTCCTGACCATCTCCACGAGGGGCTGTCCTTGTAAGCCCGTGTTCCTCTTCACTCACCTGACCCCTCTCAGTCATGATTGCTTTCAGCTGCTCTGGCTGGCTTAGGAGAAAACCTAAGACTATGGAGTCCCAGAACCAATCTCTGCTCTCTCTACCTCCAAGACAGGAAGAAAATAACAGGGATCTTCATGGAGAAATGACTCACAGGAGGGCCTGGACTCTCCAGCAGTTACAGCAGAAGGAAGTTTCTGAGGAAGAATGGAGGAGCTGAGAGCCCAGGCCGGGAAAGCAGGGTTGTGTGAAACACTATTTAATCCTATGTGCTCCCTGCCCCAGTCTAGCAGCCAGTGAATGACAACTGACCAAGTATAAAGGCCAGGACTGTAGAACTGTGATAGAGGGTTTGTCCAAGGAAAGGGGCTTTTCCCGTTTTTGTTTTCACAGTGGAAATTGCTATTTCTCATCTAAAGTTTTCTGAATGGCAGCAGGGAGCTTCTGGAGGGTGAGTTACCTGCTCTGCACAGGGAGGCTGAGGCCAAGACTTGTGTGGTGGATCTGCTGCCACCAAGTGGTGAGGGAGGGAGCCTGGGAGAGTCTCAGTGTTTCTGGGCTTCAGTGTGTCCTGATCAGTAAGGTAGAGGCTTATTGTACCTCTCTGAGGTCCCTTTGTGCTCTGTTTTCTCTGAGCTTCTGAGGAACTGAGATGCTTTTCAATACTGCCTGGGACCTTCAGCTGAGACCTGACTCTGTGTCCTTTGCAGGAGCCTGAGCTGAGCCTACACGCTGGAATCCCAGAGCTGCGGGAACAGGTGGAAGAAAGAAAGTCAGCAGGTTTAGGGGATGAGAATAATCCACAAAGGACAAGCCATTGGTAAGTGAAAACCAAAGAAGGGGAGAATAAGGACAGAGCAGGACAGAAGCCTGAGGGGAAATGGGCAATGCCTATGATCATTTGAACCCTCAAGGAGCAGCGTGAGCAGGGTAGTGGGGACTGAGAGAAACTTACTCAACAGGAATCTCCTGCCTCTGGCCAGGGAGAGCCACAGGTTAGATCAGAGCTGGTTTATAATGAGGGGCAGCTTCAACTCCAAGAAAGGTTCAGAGGTTTGTAGTCAGTTTTATTCAGTCGTGGATGAACACTCCGCTGACCCAGGAGCCTCAGCATCGGTGCTGCTGTAGCAGAGGATGCTCTTCAGGTCAGTGTGAGTTAGAGGGAATAACCATGTGTGGAGAAGGGTTGGAGACATACATTCTTACATCAAACAGCTCTGCCCTAGGTCAGATGCCAGAGTACGTGTCCCTTGCTTATATATGAAGTAGTGATGCTAATAATATTCCTCTGCACATTCAGTTGAGGGAAGTTTCTCATGAACATTTATTGAGGATTTAATTTTCTTTATACTGTGCTAAGCACTTGGGATTCAGGTATTTAATGTCTCTCTAAAGAAACCCAAGCCAGTGAGTGGAAGAACACAAACAGATCATTTCAACAAGACACGGTGGTTCTACCCAATGAGGTGCTGTGGCAGCCCGGAGGACGGGAGGGTATGTCAAAGGACATTGTTCCTAATGATAGGGGGAGGCATAAGAGAACATTTTCAGGACAGACTAGTCTTCCTTGAAGCTCCCACAGGAGAGGATCCTGCGGCAGGGATGGTGTAGGGCAGGCACCTCTCTAGGGAAGGGGATTTGCAGCATTCTGAGAGAAAGAGCATTGGGGACAGAAATGTAGGTGAAAGGGTTGGAGGTTTGTAATCCATTTTATTCAGTCATGGATGAACACTGCTGAGAGGCCCCTCTGTGCTGGGCCTTCTTGATACAAGTGGATCATTCTTCAAACCTTCTCAAACTGATGGCCGTGAAATTGCTTCAATCTGTATTATTACAAACACAGCTGCAGGGATCAGACTGACACCCACATCTATCGTGCATCCCCTGTCTACTTCTCCGCAGATACCTGGAAATGGAATGGCCAGATCAAGGTATTTATACATTTCGATTTTGCTAATTTCTGCCCAAATTACTGTGGAAAGACGATATAACAAGTCACATTTTTAACATTTTGTGAGAATTCTTTTTATCTCTTACTGGCCAAAACTGGGTAGTATTGCCTACCATTTCCTCTGAGCTTCCTTTGCCAACATTTCTGTAGTCATTCGGTGGGGACACGTGTTATGCATGACATCAAACTCAAATCCTTAAAGGAAAAGGGGGATTAACATGACTGTACAAATTTATATTCAAAATACGATGAATAGAAATATATATGTGCATGTAAATGTATACACAAAATATATGGCAAAATGTTTTTTATTTAGGATACTTCATCAGAGTTATGTATACTTCAAAATTTGTTTAGTAAAACAGCAGGCCCCATGTGTACATAATTATTCAGCTCCCTATCTCTAAATAGTTATTATTAGTCTTTGCTTTCTGAGTTTAGGCCCCATCTCTCCTTCACATACTCGCTCATTGCCACCACCCCCAAACACGCCTCTCAACACCTCGCCCTCTAACATGTTCGTGTCCTGGTTTGCTGAGTCAATTACTACATTATTATAACTTGTACATTTTATTCAGAGCTCAGTCACATTGGATATACACAGCAGGAATGAAGGACCAGTATTTTCTGGGTCTCTCTCTCAAGTGGATGAGCTTCAGAGATTCATGTAGTCTTTGGCCACCCTGCCTGTCTTCTATTCCAGGTAAGTACTGGATAGGATGGCCCAGCTCAGATCAGGCACTCTCTCCGTGAGCAGGGGAGGGCGGGACATCTTCATGTGCAGTAGCAGAAAGACACTGTCCAAAGAGGGAGAGGCAGTTCTACAAAAGAAAGGTCAGTCTGGGGCATGGGCAGGCAAACCGAGGATGTGAAGAAAACAGTGTCTGCTCTGTGAGGGGAGCATGCAGTAGAGGATGGATTCAGAGTGGGAGGAAAAGAGTTTTTGGAAATATGGGCCGTGGATATTCCTGTGTGAGCTGGAGCCACACGAGACTGTTAGGTACTTACAGGGAGCTTAGGAGAATCTGCACTCCCCAACCTGGGAGACAGGTGAGGGGACTGTCCTGGTCACCAGACAGAGATAGGGTCTGGGCCACACAGTTCTGATGGGAAAAAAATGACAGGACATCTTCTCTTTGAGGTAAGATCCTGAGTTCAGGTCTTGGTAGGGAGGGAGGCTGCCTTGGGCATTGGCAGCTGCAGATGGTTGACCGAATGAGGGCACTGAAATCTATGTGCTATCACCTTGTGTTTCTAGTAAAAGAATCGCTGTAATGAAGGGTCCTTAAAAGAGGAGGTGGATGACCTGACTTGGGCGGGGACTCCAAGAGGAGTGTCTGCCTTGCTGTGCAGTGTGCAGTGTTCGTGCCAAGGGCTTGAGACAGCTTGTGTGACTCACCCCATTTTGGCTGCTGGACCCATCTGCACTCCCCCCTCTCTAGGGCTGTCGAGCTGAGACAAAGGCCGCAGGCTGAGTCACTGAGGCAAAAACAGAATACAAAGCAAAGGTCTGTGGTTTATGAGGACATTGTGCTGTCTGCTTTCATGTCCCCATCAGTCTCTGTATAAGCAATAAACTTGCTGCAATTGAGATGCCTAAGAGGGACAAGAGGCCCCTGCCCATATTTTCCCTGCACCTAAGCCTTTGATCTAACTCCTGATGGAAAAACAGGATTAACAAGCCACCTTAAGGGCACCATTGTTTGCTTGCACTGTGTATCTTTGAAAAACAAACTGCTTTGTAAACTATTATCACAAGCTCCCTTAACCTGCTTTGTGAGCGGTTATCACAAGCCCCTGATAAGTGTTTTCATGGAGTTTCTATTTCCTTTCTGTTTACCCCTTTTCTGCTGAGATAAAGTAAATGCAACAAGAAAAAAGGTATAAAAGCTGTAACCCACAAGAATAAACTTGCTGCGTTGTGACCATAAGTTACACAGACCTCCAGACTCCGCTTTACTATTTTCTTTCACTTCCACGCACTCTCTCCCTCAGGTTGAACGAGACATCTACACTGGCGGTCTCGGGGACTCCCACAGGTCGGTAGCCCCCCGGCAGATGTGCCAGACCCCAACAGTGCAGAAACCTGCTGCATAACCTCCCTGATTCTCTTGCTCAGTCTCCTGGCCAGACCCTCAGAGTCCCTGCCCTGTGTGCCCTGGAAACTCAGTCAGATGAGCCAAGGTATCTCCAGCCCGGACTCATCCCTGGGCATTTTTGTGGCTTTGGGTGCCCTGATCTTCTCCAGGTCTTGTCCTGCAAACAACTGACCTTCAGGGGGAGTCTGGGTAAGGAGGCTACTTGTCACTTAAATCTAAGGGATTCCATAAGGTCCTGACTTGGGTCCTAGTCACTTGCAAACCTATGCATCTCCATCCCATCCCCCAAATGATGAAAGGAAACTTTGTCAGGACTCATGCCAGACAAATAGGGTGGGGCCTTTCATAGAGCCAAGTTCTTAGGCCATCAATAAGAGATGGAAACCACCTGAAGGAAGGTGCCACGGTGGGAATCTGGGTGGCAGGAAGCAGTCACTGAACTGTCAGGGTGAATCCTGGCCCTCACACACCCTTTCTCCTCCTGAACTCCTTGTCTCATTTCTCCTGTCTGCTCTTTCCCCGCCTTTCCCAAGGCTCAAAACACTTGGTAACCTTGGACAGTTTCAAAACTGGAGAGATTTGGCCACAACATTTTCAAGCTAGGAAGGTCCCCCAGAACTATTGTCTAAGTTTTTATGTTGATTAGAAGAGAACAAGAGAGTTTCCATCTGATCTGGTCCTAAGTCTCCCTGAGTCTGGGCAGGAAGCAGAGCAGAGTCTGGACAGGAAGCAGGAGGATGCCCAGGGTCCTGGACTTGCCCCTCCTAGCTGCTCAGCTCCTCACCTGTTCACTGTGAGAGAGCTGCCCTGGAATGGGGAATCCATGGTTTCCACAGAGGCTGGGATCCCAGGCTCAAATCTAAATACTGGCTGATTCAGGAGGCTAAGGGAGGCAATTCCCTGGAGAGAGGTGTCAGGATTTGGGACAAAAGCAGCATCTAGTCGCTGTCCACAGAGACCTCAAGGACAGGAATCCACTGGTTCCCAATTGGAGGGGATCCCATGAAAATGAAATGAAACCCACAAGTTAGTACTAGACCGAAGACAGGAGAGTCGTCCTCGCGGCCCCCGTGGAGAGATCGAGCTCAAGGACTGCAAGGCTGGCTCTCCCCTAGTATGGCCAACGAAGAGGATGACCCAGTCATACAGGAGATCCACGTGTACTTGGCCAAGAGTCTGGCAGAAAAGCTGTATCTGTTTCAGTATCCCGTGCATCCAGCCTCGATGACCTACGATGACATTCCACACCTCTCAGCCAAGATCAAGCCCAAGCAGCAGAAGCAAAGGGGAGCAGATTGAGCTGAACGTGGACGGGGCCTGCGTGGATGAGACCAGCACGTACTCCTCGAAGCTGATGGACAAGCAGACCTTCTGCTCTTCCCAGACCACCAGGAACACATCCCATTACGCCGCTGCACTCTACAGGCAAGGTGAGCTCTACCTGACACCTTCACATGGCATTTTGCAGCTGCGGCCCAGCTTCTCCTACCTGGATAAGGCGGACGCCAAGCACCGGGAGAGGGAGGCAGGCGATGAAGCAGGGGACTCTTCACAGGATGAGGTGGAAGACGATGTTAAGCAGATCACGGTGGGGTCCTCGCGGCCCGAGTCACAGCAGGCCCACCAGCGCCGCTTGCAGTCCTATGAGTTCCTGCAGAAGAAGCATGCGCAGGAGGCCTGGGTCCACCTGCATTACTATGGCCTGAAGGACAGCCGCTCTGAGCACGAGCGCCAGTACCTGCTATGCCCAGGCTCGAGCGGGGAGGAGAACACAGAGCTTGTCAAGTCACCCAGTGAGTACCTGTTGATGCTGATGCCGCCCAGCCAGGAGGAGGAGAAAGACAAGCCTGTGGCCTCCAGCAACGTCCTGTCCATGGCCCCGCTGCGCACGCTGCCCCTGGCCGGTCAGATCAAGATCCTGATGAAGAACGTGAAGGCCATGCCTTTGGCCAACTTGATGAGCCTCCTGGGCCCCGCCATCGATTCCGTGGCTGTTCTGCGCGGCATCCAGAAGGTGGCGATGTTGGTCCAAGGGAGCCCGGTGGTGAAGCGTGACATCCTGTGCTCCAAGGACTTATCCAGCCGTCACAGCGGCGTGCCCGTGCCCGCCGGAGTGCTCTGCGGCGGCTGAGACTTCGTTATGCGGAAGTTCACGCAGAGCCGCTGGGTGGTTAGGAAGGAGGTGGCAACAGTGACCAAACTCTGCACCGGGGACGTGAAGGACTTCCTGGAGCACGTGGCCGTGGTGAGGATCAACAACGGCTGGGAGTTCATTCTGCCTTAGGACGGGGAGTTCATCAGAAAGCACCGGGATGCGGTCCAGCGGCAGCACCTGCTGTGGACGGGTATCCGGGCCACACTGGAAAAAGTCTATAATCCTGTAAAGGAAACCAGGCCAAAGAAGCCGGATGCACAATCAGGGCCTGCCGGGCTGGTCTCTGGGGACCAGCGGATCCAAGTAGCCAAAACCAAGGCCCGGCAGAACCACGCGTTGCTGGAGCGGGAACTGCAGCGGCGGAAGGAGCAGCTGCGGGCGCCTGTGGTCCAGCCGGGTGTGCGGATCAAGGAGGAGCCAGTGAGGGGGGAGGGCGAGGACGATGACGAGGAGGAGGAGCCCGTGGACACTTGCCCCAGCGGCGGCCTCCACAGCAGGCTGACCAACGGGCTGCCTCCCGGGCGGGCTTCGGGCACGGACAGCTTCAACGGGCATCCGCCCTCGGGCTGTGCTAGCACCCCCGTGACCGGGGAACTGAGCGCCTTTGGGAAGGCCACCTTTCAGAGACAGTTTGTGTTCACGCTGAGTGAAATCCAGCTCCTCTTCAACCTGCACATGGCCAGCCTGCCCCCGGCCACAGGCTCTTCAGTGGCAACTTGGACCGCATGCTGCGGGACACGGTGTTGGACGCTTGTTGCAGGGAGATACTGGTACCTTTTCCCACGCAGACTGCTGCTACCCCGGATGAGCAGAAAGTGTTTGCCCTCTGGGAGTCTGGAGGTACGAGCGATCAGCATCGAAGGGTTTTGATTGAAATGTTTTCCAAAAATTACCGAGTACGCCGAAGCATGATCCAGTCTCGGTTGACTCAAGAGTGTGGAGAAGATCTCAGTAAACAGGAGGTGGATAAAGTACTGAAGGCCTGCTGTGTAAGCTATGGTGGCAGGTGGTACCTTCAAGGGACAGTACAGTCTTGACAGTCGTAGCAAACCACTAACGCAGCAAATCCAAGCCCAAGGACAAAGGGCAGAACCAGAAGTAGAGCCTCGACTTGCTTCAGACGACAGAGCAAGAGGAACTGACCATCTCGTGGTGCAGTGGACAGAAGGGATCATCCTCAGCCAGTGGCAGGCTCAGTTATATCACTCCCAGAATAACCAGCTGGGACCTTCTTTGCAGTACAATTTGAAATTCCTAATGTATTTTGCTTATTATTTGGTCTTTTCATTTTAAAAGCAGGCAGGGAACCCTCAACCCAGGCCTATTGTGATCTGCATTTTTCTTGCATAAGGAATTGCAGGGGAAGGTAAGGAATTGCAGATGCTTCCCAGGACCTTTTGCCAACATTTTCCTGGGGACGTGAAAATGTCGGGATGGTGTCGAATTTCCTCTGTGATATTCAGTGATATGCAGTTGCCCAAGTCGGCACCTAAAATTTTCATGTCTTCAACGGGCTGTGTTTGGCTCGTTTTGCTCGGATAGGGTCCGCAGTTTCACCTCACACAGGAAAGGTGGCTTTCATAGTCACCTTTTTTCTTCTTTTTTTTTTTTTAAGGGAGGGGAGGGGAGGGGAGCTGAGGGATGGGGTGGGGGAACCTAGCTGCATATCTGAACAGGAGAAGCACAGGAGGAGTTCCATTACTATCTGAAACCTCACTGAGCCCTGGAACCAGGCTTGGTTTCCCTACTGTGAGTTGGAGCAGAGAGGATAACTCAGCTTGAGGTGGACTTCATGTCAGCTTTAGATCCAGAATTCCCCAGCATGCTCATCTGTTACTGAAATCTTCTTGACAAGCGGACAGCTACGAAGTCTCTGAAACCAACGAGGTATTCCTGTGAAGCCCACTTGGCTTTCTCACGCCTGGAGCCCTGCACACAGTTGCGGAACAGTTCCAATGGCCTGGCAGAACAAAAGAAAATGAACCTAAATCTGCACCTGGAGCTCAGCCAAGGACCCCTCGATTCAGAGTTTCATGCTCTACTAATTGAGCTAGTTGGGGGAGGAAAGGGGGCCCTACACATGTCATTATCCAGAGAGCCCCTTGAGCCAGTTCAGAGATCAGGACCCAGAGGGACTTGGCTCATCACCTGCTGACAGCCAAGTCCTCACTTTAGTGACAGGGAAACTGAGGCTCAGAAAGACAGCAAGTGTTTGGCTCCACCTCACGCCGTGCTGCAGGCTGGGTACAATGGAACACCTCTCAGTTTTCTTGTTCCTGGCTTCAATACAGCCCAAAGCAGAGGCCAGGCTGGCAAAAGTTGAAGGTGTTGAGCCAGTGAAGCAGTGGCTGCTGGGAGCTCTGCGGTCCTGCAGCCCGCCCCATTCACAGGGAGCCACCTTCACTCTGGCTCTCTTAGAAAGTTAACCTTTTACCTTCCCTTTTTTTAATTGATGAGGAAATACCTAGACTTGTTGGCTTCCCTGGTGTCTAGTGGCTAGGATTCGGCACTTTCACTGCCACAGCCCAGGTTCAATTCCTGGGCAGGAAACATCTTTTGCAATGTCTCCAAATTGTGTGCAGAGATGTGACAGAGAAACACACAGGTGATGATGGATGAAATGCAGAAGTGCATTCCCAGCAGCGATATTTGTCATAATAAATGCTGGGGCCACTCTCATGTTCATCAGTTAGGGAGTGTTATATGAGTGGCTGTGCAGCGTTGATGCCAAGGGCTTGAGACAGTTAGCGTGACTCGCCCCATCTTGGCTGCTGGACCTATCTGCACTCCCCCCTCTCGAGGGCTGTCGAGCTGAGACAAAGGCCCCGGGCTGAGTCACTGAGGGAAAAACAGAATACAAAGCAAAGTTCTGCGGTTTATGAGGACATTGTGCTGTCTGCTTTCATGTCCCCATCAGTCTCTGTGTAAGCAATAAACTTGCTGCAATTGAGATGCCTAAGAGGGACAAGAGACCCCTGCCCATATTTTCCCTGCAGCTAAGCCTTTGTTCTACCTCCTGATGGAAAACAGGATTAACAAGCCACCTTAAGGGCACCATTGTTTGCTTGCACTGTGTATCTTTGAAAAACAAACTGCTTTGTAAACTGTTATCACAAGCCCCTTAACCTGCTTTGTGAGCGGTTATCACAAGCCCCTGATAAATGTTTTCATGGAGTTTCTATATCCTTTCTGTTTACCCCTTTTCTGCTGAGATAAAGTAAATGTAGCAAGAAAAAAGGTATAAAAGCTGTAACCCACAAGAATAAACTCGCTATGTTTTGACCATAAGTTATGCAGACCTCCAGACTCCGCTTTACTATTTTCTTTCATTTCCGCACACTCTCTCCCTCAGGTTGAACGAGACATCTATGTTGGCAGTCTTGGGGACTCCCACAGGTTGGTAGCCCCCCAGCAGACGTGCCAGACCCCAACAAGTGGCGATCCCTCTGTACGTTAAAAGGATGTGCAATTATTTCAAAGATGGATGTAGATGATGATAACAGCCGCAATGTGGCCACCAGTGGTAATGGTAGTAATCATGGCTACTGCTCTTGGAGCACTTACTCTGCGTCAGGGCATGGGGTCAAGGTTTTACAGATGTCTCATTTAAACTGGGAACAACACAAATAGAAACACATTCCTATTGGGAGCATTTTACAATGTGGAAATGGAGGCACAGAAAACCTAAGTGACTTCTTCAGAGTTATATGGCCACCAAATGCGGCTATCTGCTTGTGTCTACGGCTTCATGGACAGAAGAGTCCAAGCCTCTCTTGTTCTGCTGGGATTGTCATCTTCTCAGAGACATGCAGCCTTAACCGTTAGTGAAGGTGGGTGCAGTGAGGAGGGATGGGGAGAAAGGAGGTGTGTATTGGGCTTGGGATAGGTGGGTTCTGGAGCTCCAGAACTGAGCTTTTCTAAAATGAACCTTTTGCAAACAGCATTTACTTTTCTGACAAACCTTCACCCTTCAGGCAGGATTTTCTTATTCTAACTTGAAGCAGGCGGGCAACAAAGACCCCATGTATCTGGACGTGGAAGAATGAAGGTCAGAAAGTAATAGTCACAAGGTTAACTGTGCCTGCATGGGACAGGACAAGTAGTCTTCAGTTGTTTGCCAACAAATACCCTGATTGCTCCACAAAGAGGCATGTGGTGCCTAAAAGTCTGAGGACATCTGCCTCAGATACCTGTCTATTATTAAATGCCCCCATCCCCAAGCTGCGAATCCTCACCTCTTTGTGCCATTGCACCAGTTCTAGACACCAGGGGGGCGCAGTGACATGGAGGCCAGAAGTTATGTGGCTGGGCAGGTTTCCAAGTTGACACCCGGTGCTTGTGAGCATGGGCTGGAAGCGGGACGGCCAGATCCACGACATTCTCCCCAGCCCATACCTCCACCTTTGCTATTGTAAGCAGCCCCATTGCACGTGACCAGTGACCGCCATAGCCTCTTGTTCTGAAGTCACCCACTTCCCCATCCTTCACTATGGGTCGTTTGTTGCACTCAGCGCTCCTGCTCCCTGTGTCCAAACGGGGGAAGGTTCCGAGGGAGAATGCGAGCTGGTTGTGCTCCCACTGCCCAGTCCCTTCTTGATGCCTCCAGATGTGGGCTCCATGAGGCAGGACGTGCTCACCATGCAGTTTCTCACCTAGAGCAAGGCTTGGCACCTCGGGAGCACCCATATGTGTTCGGTGAATGAAGACATTCCAATGCAGGGTTCGGAGAGACATCAAGAAACGTGCTGCACTTCCCACTTTTAGTCCTTTGGATAATTCAGGTTATGGGAAACTAGAAAAAGTTTTTCAAACCCAGGTGTTCTTTATAATGTTTATTCCAAGCCTAGAGGACACCGTCTGGAATGAGCTTTCCTCCCTGTGAGGAAAAACCTCTCTCATTTAATTGGAAAAATATATTGGAAGCTAAGTGGGCACACCGCCTTTTGAATCAGACTAAGAACACATAAAGAGATGCCTTCTGCTCCCAGCAAATGTGGAGTAACCGATGCCCGATTTACTCTTTTGCCTGAAATCTGCCCACTGCTCCTCTCTGCAAACAAACACAGACAAAAAAAGTGAAATTACACTTTTCAAGACACTGGAAATGAGGTGAAAAAGGACAGAATCCCTGAGGGATGAGAAACAAACCAGGTGAGCCCTACCGTGCCCCAGCTTGCTGCCTTCAGGGAGTTCCCAGGCTAGGCCCCAGGCAGGAATCTGAGGCCTACTCCTGGACTGAGGAGATGAAGCTGAGCCTCCCTGGACAGCAAGGCAGCTAGGGCTCAAAGGACCAGATGTGGCGGTGAGAGACATGGATGGAGAGAGGATCTGGGGAGATGGGAAGGGTCTCCCTTAAGCATCAAGGAGCGCACGCTTGCAAAGAGACTTCCCGAGGCCAAGGAAGGAAGCTTGTGGAAGGGTTATGAACAGTGCCTGGATCCCGCCAGCCCAACTGAACTACTTGCCATCTGTGGGCATTTGGGTAGAATTCACAGGAAGTCCCTGCTTAACTAGTGGGAATAATGAGTTCTATCTATGCTGACTTGCAAAAAAAGAAAGAAAGAAAAAAGTCCTAAAAGCAAGACCTAGAAGAATTAAATCGATCACAGTCACTTAACTGGTATCCAGAACAACAGCAAAAGTAACTTGGTGTCACAGGTTCATTAGCCAGTAGACAGAAGGTAAACTTCGCCATGTCTGACAGGCAATCATAGAATACCAGGCAGGCAAAGGGCAGGAGACCAGGACTCATAATGAAGGAAATAACCAGTGGGAACTGAACCAGTGCTGCCGTGATGGTAGAATTAGCTGAGGGACTTTAAACAGCTATGATTGCATTCCACAGGTCCGAAGAATTAAGTAGAGACATAGAACATGTAAAATGACCCACATCAAACTCTGGAGATGAAAACACCGTCAGGGGTGTGGTGCTGTGGCTCACGCCTGTAATCCCAGCACTGTGGGAGGCTGAGGTGGGCAGATCACTTGAGCCCTGAAGTTTCAGACCAGCCTGGGCAACATGACAAAACCTCGTCTCTACCACAAAATACAAATAATTATCTGGGTATGGTGGTGTGTGCCTCTAGTCCCAGCTACTCAGGAGGTGGCCGTGGGAGGACTGTTTGAGCCCGGGAGGCAGAGGTTGCAGTGAGCCAAGATTGCACCACTGCATTCCAGCTTGGGCTACAGGGTGAGACCTTGTCTTAAAAAAAAAAAAAAATCAGAGATAATAAATTCCCTGGATGGGATTAACAGCAGATTACATGTTAAATAAAAAATGGTCAGGGAACATAGAATCATGAATAATTGAAAATATGCAAAATGAAACTCACAGTCGAAAGATTTTTTTTTAATGAAAAGATTATCAGTGAACAGCAGGCAGACTTACGAGGCCTAATTTATGAGTAACGGGACTCCCTGAAAGGGACTTTCTATAGTACCTGCACCTCTATCCTATAGAAATGTAACAGTGGGTCTGGGCATGGTGGCACATGCCTGTAATCCCAGCACTTTGGGAAGCCAACGTGGGTGGATCACTTGAGGTCAGAAGTTGAAACCAGCCTGGTCAACATGGCAAAACTCTGTCTCTACTAAAAATACAAATATTAGCTGGATGTG